CTGCCATTACCTCCCACCTCTTTTCCCACAACAGCAGCCACAGTGTACTTATAGAAACTAAGCTAGACAGAGAAACCCTTATTTTTTTAATAAGAGATCTCTTTGTCTGGGCAAAAGTGCTTTAGGTATTTTGTGGTGAGGACTTCCAGAGTCCAGAACCTTCTCAGAATACTGAGGGAATCTTCCGTAATCCCAACTCCACATCTGCAACTCCAAGTATCTTATCATAGTCCCTCTCTGTTTCATCACTTTTCCTAGGCTGCTGGAACTGCTCCCAGAACTTCAGAAAAAAGAGTTAAGGATAAATTCTTTGATTTACCATATCTAAAGTGAACTAGGCAGTAGGAGATCCTGGTTAGGTAGGTGACAGGACAGCAGTGCATCTGGCACTGAGTATAGAATGTTTCCAGAAAAGGATTTCTAGCCTTTTTAAAGTTATGTATTAGATCCTGCCCCTTCCCATTGAATATGGTGGAGGGCTTTTTGGGGGTGAGAGGAGAAGAACCAGTGAATGAAATGGGTAACATGAATTCTCACATACTGAGGTGTGTGTGCCATGCTAGTCACAATGTATAAACAAGCTGAAACTAATAATAACACTGTCACTGGCACGCAAGTGAGTGGGCATGAGTAGAGGGGCATTCCATCTCTGCTCTACGGACTGAATTTCAGCCTAGCAGTCTGATTCCATAAACCATATTCTTTCCACAACCCTAATTTATAGGAACTTGGGGAAGAATTTTATGTTGTCCTTTGCTCCCTTTGGTTTCTTATTTTTCTTTTTGAATTCCAGGGAAGCAAAAGGAGCCTTCTGACACAGAAGAAAGGGAAATTAATTTGGTATGTTCAATGTATCTGTTAAAACAAATGCAATCTATGTTATATCATTTTAACATTTATATATATAGATATATTTTAATTTGAGTCTCTATAACACCATGTGCCAGGCAATATTTTAAGTACTATATATATTGACTTACTTTAAAAATATGTTTATTTTACATTTACTTTCATCTGCAGCAAAGATTCTTCAGGATTAACAAGTCTTAAAGTAAGTGGTCCTTTGGAAGAGCATGGATGGCAGTGTAGGCTCTAAGCAAAAAGTTCAGAGGCTGAATCAGAGACTGAACTATATAAGCATGGCTCTGATCTTGGCCTGTTATGTGATGTGACTTCAGGCTACTCATTTTCACATAAATAGCTTAAAGTCATCTGGAAGAGAGTTGAGAGTTAATGACAAAATAAAACACAAATAATTTCATAAAATGAGGTACGAATCACATCAGCAGATAAAGAAGCATGATTACAGAACTCATTACTATGTGAAAGTCCTTCATAATGTGTGTGGGTTCATCAGGGAAGAGACTTCGCAGTCAAAGGAATGGATGTTTTGGAGGCAGTGCCAACTTTTCCTACAAGTTCTTGGAATATAAATTTAGGTTTCTTTTGGGTTCAGTATTGTGTAAATAGTGGAATGCAAAAAAGAAAGCAAGATGAGGCAATATATTTCTAAAAGTATTTTTTATGTAACTCTTTAAAAACATACTTTAGTCATAAATGAGGTACCGCAAAGGAACTTGTGTGTGTGTGTGTGTGTGTGTGTGTTTTAGTAAACCAGAGTAGAGATAAAGATGTAGTAACCTTCTTGAAAGTTCTTGAAATGCCAGAAGCAGATATAGCTAATAATTCTACATATAATATTAAAGAGCACTCAGCATTCTCTACCAGTTGCCTAATTTTAAATCACCCCCTCCCCCGCAAAAAAAATCAACTTTATAAACCAGTATTAAATTTTTAGTAAGCATTAGTAGACATCATTGTAATGGGTGCTAAGATTTTGTTTCCTCAAGTAAAAAAATTTTCTTAAATATTATTCCTTTCTTCCCATAGTGAACAGAAACAACAAACTACATTTTATTATAATCAGGCCTGAGAGCTATGGAACCATTTAAAACATTAATCTAAATGATTTATTGTGCAAGTAAAGCCAGGGATGGTTAAAATGTAGTCGTATTTCTTCCTGTGTAATCTGGGCAAATTATTTACAATTTGAACTTGAATTAAATAGAGGTTTTTCTGTGCATGCCATTATTTGGGAATTTTGTTTTAAGGTGTTCATGTCTTTCACAGGAATTCACAGTTTTGCCCTATTTAAATCGTCAAACATTTCAGAAAACAATCAAAGAAATGCCATATTAGATCTTTGAGACTAAGGATTCTTAAGAAGGTATTTGTATAAGAACCATGGAATAGAAATCCCAAGCAGAAATAGGAACTGGGAACAACATGGCAGGTACATATAAAAGCCAAAGTTCTCATCTTATTCCATCTTGGTCCTGTAAAAGTACTTGTATACTAAAAATTACTGAATTGTACACTTAAAAAGTAAATTTTAAGGTATGCAAATTAGGTCTCAATACATTTTTTTAAAAAAGTGCTGTAAACTGTAAAGTGCCAAACAAATATAGAGTAGGATGGCTGCTTTGGTGTTGGTCATCTCTACCCACCATAGCTTGATGCACCAGCCATGTGGCACCCACTCATTTTAATGAGGTTCCCAAAAGATAACTTCATCCACCATATTTTACCCCATTCATTCTAACAAGGTTTTCCATAGAAACAAGCCATCTTTTGAGAAGGAGCCAGGTAACTGAGTTAACAGACTTATGCCAATTGAAAAGTACAACAGGGACCTTGTTGTATATTGAGGGTTATGGCTATTTATTAAGTCACATGACAGTCTCCTTCAGTGCTCCTCCAGAGACTTTAACCAGATTCCTATGAGTGGAGGTTGGGGCACTTGCCATCAGAGAGAAGATACAGGGAAGCTTAAAGCAATTCCTGCCTCTTTCAGTCATCCAACTTTAGTGTTATTTAGTGGGCAGCCACTTCATCAGAGGGAGGCAGTTAGTACCTAATTTCTCAGGATAGGGCTAGACTTGCTTGTGCAGTAGAACTCTGCTAAGGATGAGAAGTAGATGTAGCACTGCATGCATCACGATGAGAACAACAAAGGACCAGGCAAGGCATGTAGACTGTCAAGGACTATGGACCTGATACTTTAGAGGAGTTAGGCCAAACTTCAAGAACATAAATTGGCATAATTGGAATTTTAAAAAATTGAAATAACAACCCTTAGCATTAACATGACATCTTTATATTTTTATAGCTGGGTTCCCTTGATTGCTAGGAGGCAAACAGATAACTGAAAAGAGGGAAAAACAGCAGGACCCATTTTACTTTTATTTTTCATAAGTTCACCTATTTTTCAGAAGCTCTAAGATATTTGACTCTATTTGAAAATGTAAGAATTTTCTTATGATAGAAATAACAATTAGAATATTTTAAAACTTTTTCTAGGCTTGGCCATCTTAAAAAAAAAAATGGACAGCAAATTTCCAATTCCAGGTCTCAAATCATAATAACATATCTTGGATAACTCATAATATTTATTTTTCTGCTCTCTCAGAAGGTATCCATTTTGCTTTATCTTTAATGTTTTTATTCTAATCTGCGTTAATACTATCTATTATGTTGTAAGCTGCTTGAAGTTCTTGTGGGATGTTTTCTGCTTTTTTCATTAATTTGGGCTGTGGTTTTCATTTTAAAGAGGGATTGAAAAGCATTTTATGACATCAAAAGTGATCAATAATAAAGCATAAAATAACTATTTGGGAGGAATACAGTAGTCCTTAAGCCTTTCATCCATTAATAAGTGAGAATCTGTTAAAAAAAAAGAAAAGGTATCAAAAGCATGTATGAGAGTTGATTTTTTTCATGTGTATTGACTCATGTTAGCCTGCACTCATAGTTTGCTAATTAATATTTAAGTGGTAATTAAATTTAAATGGTAACTAAAGCAGCCTTTTTTTTTTTTTTTTTCTGTTATAGATTGATGTTCCCCAGCCCTTCAGGAGTGAGCAAACTGAACTGAGCACCAGGCAAAATTCCCAAACACTGCCAGATACTAGAATTTATGATAATGATCCCTGTTTTAAGGTCCAGGAAGAATCTGAGGTTCATTCTAAGCCATGTCTTGAGGAAAACAAACAGGGCATTGTTTATGCTTCGCTGAATCACTCTGTCATAGGAATGAACCCAAGACAGGCAAGAAACATGAAAGAAGCACCGACAGAATATGCAGCTATATGTGTGAGGAGTTAAATCTGGTCCTGATCTCCCACCAATGATCATTGAACGATCAACATGTCAACACCATTGTCTGAAACCAACAGAATATCAAATAATATTCCTTGACCTGAGAATTTCACTTTAAGGAGGTTCATGCTGGTGCTTGTGTCCTAAGGGTTCACAGGACAAAGGACTAAAACTTCTCCCAGAAACTTCTTTGGGAGCCTTTTATACTGTAGCCATGAACAACAAAACCTTCTCTTTAAAACTGAGTGATACTATGAATAGCAAAGTAGTAGAACATTTTAACTTAGCTACATTTTACCCAACATACAAACTCTATATTTTCTTTGGAGCTATCAGAAAGACATGTAGGGAAGAGAGATATATTATCTGATTCAATTCACTACACACTCTTAAAAAATAACATCCCAATTCAACTAACTAACCATAAATACAGTAATAATAATATGTGTATTTCCAGTCAATCTTTTATAAGAAATTTTCCTCTGTCAATCTAATATTAGGGTTTCTTAAATGTAAAGGAGAAATAATTTTAGGCTTGATGATATAAGAAAAGAATGGAAGGAATAAATCGTGCAATAAAGATGTGGAATATGCCAACTAGATGTGAGTAGATGTTCCTCATATCTGACAAATGAATGCTAAGCAAATTTATGTAGTGATGGAGCAATTAATGTATGGTGCATTTATAAACAAAGTGATAACTCAGTGTTTGGGTTACATAGACTAATGCATGTGAATTGACATAATGCTGCTGAATTAACATATGTGTGGATGTCTAAATAAACATAAAAATCAGTGAGAATAGTCATCATTAGGCAAGTGCTGATTGATGGCTTAAACTGCTTCACAATTGATCCAAGAGTGAATTAAAAGCGCAATTAATAGAATGAAGAAAAGTCCAGAATATTTTGTTGGCCAGTATGAATCAACATACTTCTGTTTAGCACATCTGTATCTTGCTGTTCTTCTTATTAAGAAATCAAGGCAAATCATACTTAATAAAATAGTATAGTTTGAAAACCATTTGTTTTAAATTATTGAGGTTCCAGCCACTTAAAATTATAGCAAGAAGATATGGTTTCAACTTTCTCAATTTCCAGAGTACTTGAGTCTAATTATTTCAAAAATAGCCTGCAACTTTATTCAAAGAGCTTGAGGCTATTAGAGTTCTTGAGTGCTGCTACTAACTAATGCAATAGATCTCATACAAAGTGGATAGCAAAGGTTAGGATCCATTTGAACAGATACAAATGAACGTGGGGGGTGTGTGTGTGTGTGTGAGAGAGAGAGAGAGTGTATAGCAGGAAGGGTAGGTGACTTACAGAAATAGTAAAAGAGAAACTGACAAAATTGACATACCATTTTAGTTTGCTAAAGAAACTCAAATACTAGAGTAAATGAGTCATTGAAGAAAATGTCTGAAAATAATGTATAAAATTATGGGGATAGGAGTATGACAGCACATAAAAGTTTTTGTCCCAAAAAGACACAACAAATTTTGTGGCAGAGCATTTCTTCTGTAACAGTGGCATTAAGATTTTGCCTCTTAAATTGAAGTTGCGGGTATTGTTTTAGAGTCAGTGTTATCTGGCCAGAATATCATTACTCCCAGAATTTTGAGCAACCATCTCTAGGTAGCTTTTTCAGTCAAGCTGCAATGTATGGACAGCTTATGTGCAAAAGATATATTAGAGTAGCTGCTTGTGGTATTTTTAAAAATAGAAACAGGAAGTATGGGGAGGATACATATAGCTGTCCTTATCAGATAAACACATAAGCTGAACAGTTCCTTCAAAAATTTCTTAAATTAAAAAAAATGTATTTCTGTCTATTGTTGAGAATAATCTTAGCATGTCTTACAGTAAAGATAATATCGATAATGATTTCACCTCTAATGATTTATACTTATATTTGTACGATGTTGCCAAAATCACGTCATTTGTTTTTATTCCTTCTTAATAAAACATGTCAAAGCTATATCTGTATTTCACAAATAAATCTATTTCAGTATTATTTTCATTGTTTATTTCATTAATAAAATATGAGAAAAAGAATATATAGATAATTTAATAATTTTTATGAAATTTTAAGCTTATTCATTGTTCTAAATAAGAAGCTAAACTTATTAAAACTTATTTGAAATCAATTTGGTATTGGTTTTTGTACCAAAAAGTGTGTGGACATGAAATACAAGAGTAGTTGTTAAACCTTATGGCACATAAAAACAATTTAAAGAACTTGCTAAACTGTGAATTACCAACTCCCAGTAATAAGGAATTCTGATTTAGGAGAACCAGGATATGGCTCTATAATCTTCACCATTAAAAAACAACCCAGATAGTTGGATATATGTTTCCCAGTGCAGAGGCTAGTTTGGTATGAAGGTGGTACAAGAGCAAGATGCTGGTGATGCAGGACCCTATCTACAGCGATGGACCCCATAAAAGGCTTTTGGAGGGAAGAGCAAGTAGGGCCTCAGAAGGAGACCTGTCACTCACTGTCACTCATTGTCTCCCTTTAGCACTTAAATAATTGTGGAAGATGGTCCTGACTGCCAGAGGAGGTGGGTATTGCTGGTGCATTTCTTTCCAGAGTTGGAGTGGCTGTCCAGTGGGCCTGATCATATCTATCAATCTCTATATATACTTTTTAAAAGAGCGGTCTTAGGTTCAGCGAAGCTGAGCAGAAAGTACAGAGAATTTTCATATACCGCCTGGCCCCACACACGCACAGCCTTCTCCTCCATCAGCGATATCCTACACCAGAGCAGTACATTTGTTACAATCAGTGAACCAACAATGACACATCATTATCAACCAAAGTCCATAGTTTACATTAGGATTTACTTTTACTGTATTCTATGACAAATGTATAGTAACATGTATCCTTTATTATAATAATGTACAGAAAATTTTACTGACCTAAAGATCTCCTGTGCTTCACCTCTTATTCATCATTCTCTACTCCAAAATTCCTGTCAACCACTGATCTTTTTACTGTCTCCATAGTTTTACCTTTTCCAGAATGTCATATAGCTGGAACCATATAGTATGTAGACTTTTCAGATTCTTTTTAGCACTGAATAATATTTTAGTGTCTAGATGTGCCACAGTTTATGTATCCAATCACCTACTGAAGCAATCTTGACTGTTTCCAAATTTTATCAATTATAACTAAAGTTGCTATAATCATCTGTATGCAGGTTTTTGTGTAGACATCATTTTTCAACTCATTTGAGCAAATACCAAGGAATGTGATTGTTGGATTGTACAGTAAGAGTATGATTAGTTTTCTAAGAAACTCCCAAAATGTCTTCCAAAGCGGCTGCTCCATTTTCTTTCCCATCGACAGTGAATGAGGATTTCTGTTGCTACACATCCTCTCCAGCACTTAGTGTGCTCAGTGTTTCAGATTTTGTTCATTCTAATAGGTTTCTCATTGTCTTAACTTGCAATTTCCTAGTGACATATGATGCTGATCATCTTTTCATATGTTTATTTGCCATCTGTGCATCTTCTTGTTAAGGTCTTTGGCTTTTTTTTTTTTTTATCGGTTTGTCATCTTATTGTTGAGTTTTAAGTATTCTTTGTATAGTTTAGATAACAATCCTTCATCAGATAAGTCTTTTGCAAATATTTTCTTTCAGTCTGTGGCTTGCCTTCTCATTCTGTTAGCAGTCATATCATTTATAGCACTTATTTGTTATTATGTTTGCTGCTACATTAGACTGTGGGCTTCTTATGGGTGAGGATTATGTCACAGTCCTCTAGTTTCCTAGCCCAGTGCTTGGCACATAGTAGAATTAAATAATATTTAAGGAATGAGTAATTGTGTTTGTGAAATGAGCCATCTACTTTCTTGCTACTTAAAGCATGGCCCTCATAAGCATCCCCTGGCAGTTATTAGAAAGGTAGACTTTCAGACTATACTTACTAAATAACAATTTACATTTTCAAAAGATCTCTCAAATGATTTATAAAGCTGTGATTCACTTAGCCTTTATGACCCCACATCCCTCCACAAGGAGTTGGATATGGTAGAAAATGAAATTACTCATTTGGAAAGTTCTATTTTGGGCAGGAACAGGAAGGGCCTCACCACCCAGCCCAGAAAGTAAAACTGGAAAGTAAAAAAGAAAACATTATTACTTTACAGAATGTTTTGTAAGAACACAGGAACTGAAAATCCTGTGCTAGAAATCAAATATAGGTTCTAAAGCGAGTTCTGGGGACTGATCTTTAAAATCAGGCCCTTTTCTGAAGTTAGTCAGGGTAAACATTCCATGGAATCTACTTTATTTGCAGACAATCTATATCCACATACTAAACACCTACCACTTTGCTAAGTTCTGAGGTGACATGATTAGGAAAATCCCATTCCTACCTATCACTGATTACAGTACAGATGAAGAGGTAAAAACTAAACAAAACATTACAATCTGATGGTTGAATTCCATCATGGATATAGGTGCAAGTGCTATGGAAACACCATAACTGTATGTTCTTCTGCCTATAAAGACCATATTATATTCACTATATTAGATCCGTGGTCCTGAGAAACCGTTTGGGGTTTTGAGAGAACTTAATTAATCACAGCCCTTTGCCTTTACAGGTTCTTAACCAATTGAAACATAAAGGAGCCAGAGTGGAGAAAATAGTAATATTAATAGGAAAGGTGAATTGGCAAGCATTGTTTGGGTCCAAAGACAAAATTAGTTTCTTACCAATCTCTCCACCTAAATACTGCTTGACTTTGGGACCCATTTACAGGAAGAGTTAGGTCTAAAGAGAAATATTCAACCAGACACTTGGGAGATGTGAGTCTACCTGAAACCTTAACTGCAAATTAATGAGGGCCAGGGATGTTATGACAGCTTCCTTTGATTTTAATGCAATGACTCCTTCTCATGATGTGGATAAAAAGAGGCTCTGCCCATCTTCACCAGTCAGTTAAATCAATCCCCTTTCTGTAAGGAGAAGTCTGAAAGAGGGTAGATCAGCAGAAGATCCTCTTTCAGAGTAAGATTAAAGTAAGAATGTGAGGAAAACAAAAGAATAATTTCTTCCTAATTTGGTGAGTACTTGATGAATTTTAAATTACTGAAATGAATGAATTAAAAAGAGCAACTACTTCTTTCAGGGACATCAGAGAGAGTCAATCGTACTTTCTCTTAGAGTGGGAAAGGGTAGCAGTGAATTCTAAGTGGAGAAAAAGGCCTTTCAAAAAAACATGGCACATTTTGAGAATGGCCAGAAAGCCAGTAGTTGTTGCGTAGGTTACGTGGAAGGAATGGCAGTATACAAGTACAATCTTAGTTGTAATTATTTAAATATCATGTAAACAGTTACAAAGTGCTTTCCTGTATATTATACAAAACATCTTATATACTGCAAAAGATCTATTGGAACTTTTTTATCTTTATT